AAAAAAAAAGGGTTATTCAGAGTGCCAAAGGTAATGGAAGAATAAATGGAGAGTGACTGTTGCAGTAGATTTTGCAAGGTAGCTTCCAAAAGTAGGTAGAAAAAGATAAATGTTCTTTATCAATCAATACATGTGTTTTTCATCTGAATGGTATAATTCATGGGAAAATGGACATAATTACTACAGATAAACCCAAAGAAGAAAATATCCTGTATATGACAAATTACAACTTCTCCTTTCTTGACTACTAGGGTTGGGGGAGGTTAAGATACTCCAAGTATTAACTTCACTTGCAAATTGCATTGTACATAGCTGTGCACCATGCTACTGCAATACTGCTTTTAGTACTGTAATCCAAAAGAAAATTTAGAAAAGGTAAACTGCCCCTAAACTACAAAAACATTTGCATACCAATTCAGTTGGGAGTCTATTTAGACATTGCCCTTCTAAGAATAAAGTGAATTAAAGGCCAGGAAAAGACCACTGGCTTTAATCACTGAAACAATAGTATACAGACTTGCCAAGGCTCCAGGTAACTCATTCTCCACCATTTACATTACAAGCGACCTCCCACTTAAAAATTATCCAGGAGGGTCAAGGAAGAATTCTAAGGGTGAAGAGGATTCCTCCAGAGCTCTACTACCATACCCTAAATTTCTCCTTGTTCTTATTTAACTCTTCCATGACACTGTGTATGGATTTTAGGTGAGTTCAGAAAAAAACTGCTATGGCCACTGCTTAATACATGGGGTTCTATAACATATAAACCGAGGGCAGCTCCTCTTTAAAGCTCTGACTTTCAAGGCTCTATATAACATGTTTCAACTCTATCTTAGTGCTGTACGTTTTCCAGGTACCTGGAAGGAAACAGATAGCAACAGCCCCATTTTTCTGTTAATTGTGCTTTTGTTGTTGTTGTTCTTCATGTTTTAAGACTCCTTCCAAGGCTGTTAGACCTTGAAGAGAGCTGGAGAAAGATTCAAGGATGTCTTGCCTTCCAGATTGGGTATTCAGGCTTAGCTCAGTAAAGCTGTCATGAAGCGGTACAACGGGTCTCAAAGACAAACCACATGGTATCTGATGTTTGTCTTTATATGTTTAAAACAAAAATGTGGCACTACAAGAAGGTTAACATGTGGACCTAATTTTGAAAATACAAACAGGAAGCACCCCCACCCCAATATTACCATTTAAAAAAAAGGAAACCAAACCTCAAAGATACCTTCCAAGGAAGTCATGGGTGTGACCAAAACTAACAAAAGTAATAAAACGTCATCTAAAACCCTGAAACCACCAAAAGTGAGGGTCCCATTCAATCAACTAAAAATCTAACACCTGTATTACTCCTCTGTTTTGATTAGTAAAAATAATATAGATTTAGATACATAAAATCTTCTCCACACTGGCTTAAGTCTTTCAGTAGTAAAGGATCATCATTAATAAAACATCCTATGTCAATATTAATCATAGTGGCCTTATTTGAAGTTTTTTTTTTACTTTAAATAAGGCCACTATAATTAAGAGTGAACACAATTTAAAAAATGTTTTATCACTGTGATGCTTAAAAACTGTCTGCTCAATGGAAACTAGATTGTTAAATTTGACTTTCTTATTCCCAGAAATAAGCATAAAACTGTTCTGTTTCCAACATTGCAGGGGAAAAAATACTTCTGATTTTAGAACAGTTCTATTCACAAAGCTCAGCTTAAAAAATTATTTTTCCTTTAAACATCACACATTTGAGGACAGTGATAC